CCCAGGCTGGGGATTCGAACCCGCCACCTTAGGTGTATGTGGCTGGCGCCTTAGCCGCTTGAGCCACAGGCGCTGAGCCTCTTTCACTTTTAAAGTTGGTACTAAAAATATATATGGAAAGATATGGGGTTCACTTGAAATCCCCATATTAGGTTTTAGAAAGTTTTGCCAACCAGAAAAGCTCACCTAGAATGCTATCTGATCCATTGATAGGAGGAGTGTGTGAGGCAGCAACATAAGGAGAGCTGCTGGTGCTGCCACGATGAAAGCTGGACATTGGTGGAAGACTCGTGCTTATGTCTGTTGGTGAAACTGAGTGTGGAGGATAACTCTAGGAAAAGGGGAAAAGAGACATCATCTATTAAATGTGTTTTCTAAATAATACGCACAATGGACAACTGCTAAAATAGGTCAGAAGAGCTCTACAAATTAGCAGCGAAGGAGCGCTACTATTATCATTTACTTTCTAAAAAGGTACAGTAAATGCAGTAAGTATCACTTCAAACTTCAGAAGTTTTGGCAGAATCCAATTTTATATTTGTAATCCAAAAAGAGACACAACTGAGGACAGAGTGTTGCTGCACTCTAGTCATATGTTATAGCTTACCAAGCGGTCATGTGAATGAAGGCTGCCATAACTACTGGACTGAGACATGTGGGAAGTGGAGGTCCCCAGAATTCCACCAAAACCAGGCTGGCTCATCCCATTTGATGAACTCCAAAGGTCAGAAGAATTGTGGGTCCCATCTAAGACAAAAAGAGAAATATAAAAATTTCCTTAGCTAATTTTTATTATTCTGATGATGCTTATAAAAATTCAAAGGGTACTCTTTAGATATTTTTCCTTCCCTTTTCCAACCTAGTCTCCTATCCAGTCTTCTTCTCTCCAAACTGCAAAATTACTATTTTAAAATAAGGAATAAGCTTTATAGTCAGGGAAAAAATAATTTAAACTGTAGCAGGTAGGTAAGTCAGTATAAAAATCCAATCCTCAGGAAATCTAAATTCGTATCGAGCAGGATAATAAAAATTCTAAATTTAGGGATAGGCTGGATTTAATTTTTGGTTAAATGATATATATATATATAAATATACAAAAAAGTTCTCAAACCATAATAGACAATGCACATTATATCTAACATTTTGAAATTGTGGAATAAAGAAGTTTCTGTAACAGTAAACCTAAGTACTATAATTGATCACGACCATCTTATATCAGCTTCAAAGGAAAAGTGTCAGTAATGACTTCACTTACAAATATAAATCCAAGGAATCATTTATGTAATAATTTATTGCTCTCATATAAATGCTTCACATAGTCCAAAACCACAGAAGACCAAATATAAATAATTTGCTAGATGTGAATTAAAGGAAACGCAATACTTTTCCTCCTAATAAGTTTTACTCTTTTAACGGCATGTAAACTTTTTATTTATATTGGTAATTCAAGGTGTGATATGAATCCATAATTTAAACAGGAAACTAAAGTTAATAGCTTTCAAACATTTAAAATTCTAAGATGAACCACAGCAGTTCTACTTAATTTTTCTTAATTTCTTTATAAATTCAATCAATACTGGATGGGCACTTGGATAGTTTGCTGGATAATCCAACTAAATTGCAATTAGCAATCAACAGAATTAGAAAATGAAAAAGCTAAATTTTAATTTACTTTAGCCAAAAAATACTTAGATAAAATAATGTTTAAATATCTGTGTAGGTATTCTTTTTCCTCACAGTATTTTAGAACACTGGGTAATACAAGGATAATGTGTTAGTATTTGACAACTCTTTGGTAGTACTTACCCTGCATAAAGAAAGTGCTAGCAAACATACTGGTTGGTGGCTTAGGAGATGGATAACTAGGAGATTCACGGTTGAAGTCATCTGAATTTGGGGATGGTGCATATACCTTAAAATTAAACAGTAAATTTAATTAAAAGGTAAATGATCATCATTATGTAAATTGAGTTCTATATTCCATAAAAGACCTAAAAGGTCTATCTAAATAAAGGCCTCCACAAATGCAAAGAACATTGCCTACATCCATATCAATAATGTCTAATTTATTTGCTATCTATATGTCTTTTTAGCTAATTATAACGTACTACTTCACATATCTTTGTAATGCATCTTGGTGTGACAGTTATACCGGGTGGTTTAATAAAGCCATAAATGTTGGTTTGGTTTACAAAACACAAATCTCACACAGGCTCATGATTCAAAATCTGTTGAAGTAAACAAATGTCTTTTGAATGTAGCACAAAATAAAATTGGGTTTCATAAAATTCATTCTTTTTGCTATTAACAAGATTTACCAATAACAGATCTATTGAATGTTGCTATCCTTTGTTACAAGGTAACTGAAAGGCTTGACACAATTGTTTAGAAACCTGCTGAACCTGGTAGAGTTGGCAAATAAAAACCAAAATTCTGCTGAGAGGTTTTAATTCTTTAATTTCAAGTACACTTTCAGGTCTTGGATAGTTTTATTAAAAATTTCCTTTGTTAGAGCAATATTAATTTCCTTTGATAAAGTCTTGCTTCAGATAAACAAACTATGAACATTTTAAATTAGCAAATGGTTAACATTTGCATTTTTTTTGAAAACTGAGTGGGCAAATAACCTTAATGATCAAAACATGATCACACTATTCTCCTAACTACTAAAACTAAGAAGGAATAAATAATATTTGTATGATCTGTAAAAGTAAACTTCCAGAGGTCAGGGAAGGCAAAGGTGAGCTATTTTGAGCAGCATATGAAATAATTTATTTTGTTTTAGTTTGATCAAGGTACATCTATTACATTTTACTGCCAAATAAAACTCTAAGTGTTCACTTAAGAGGAGGATAGTAAGTTAACATTATAATTATTGGAGCATGTGTTATAAGAAAACTTTTTTTGCATAAGCATACAAAATTTCTGGAATACACACAAGAAACTTAATGATTAGATTTTTGGAGTTAGAATTGAGAAGGCCTATTACTTTATACCCTTCTACATAATTTGCTATTATTACCCTAGGTATATCTTTATTTATGCTAGTTATAGAAAAAGAATTAAGGAAGCACATCAAGATTAAAATAAGGGTGGCTCGGCGCCTATAGCTCAACCGGCTAAGGCGCCAGCCACGTACACCTAAGG